TTATTATTATCTCTACCTTTCTCCCTCACCTCTTTTATACTTGATAAACGAACGGAACATTTTAAGACCGAGCGATTACTTTAAAGACATTCCTACCCTACGATAACGCTCGTACATACATATATACATACATCCATTCATCCACACATACGTCCCTGCCTACGTACACATAAACTAATTCTTGCAAGGACTGCTACGAACATTTTGACGACCTTGTATCAACCAAAATACATTAATTTTATTTGTAGAAACCTTAATTGATTTATATGTATATAAATTTGTTGTTTAATTTTACAATTTGATTTTCTTGTTTTATACCCCTCTTATGGTGGGCTATCTAACAAGGCCAAATCAAACTAATATGTTTCAACACTCATACACTTCACTATAACTGATAACCCTCTATAAGCTGAAGCATATGCAACCATTATTCATTTTTTAAAAGTATTTAATATAGATTTTGGTGCTTTTCAATACGACTGCCCTGACTAAAATCTATGGCATTAGATAAAGAAATGTATCGACGACCCAGAAGAGTAGAATATCAGAAAACCTTAGAGTAAAATTGAAAAATAGATGGAAAGCTGGAAAAATATTTGGGACATACGAGAGAACAATCGCAGAACCTGTAGGTAGCAGTTGTACCATTAATTAAACGATCATTTGTTGCAGCTTCGACGAGTCTTAGAAAAAGACTAAAAGAAATGGAAAACTAAAGAATCAGAACTATCCAGACTATAATATTTCTGAATTCTTATAGAATACTGAGGAGAATGCTGAAGACTTTGAGGAAAATTATCATTTGATCTCCAATGAAAAACCACCAGTTATTATTAGTGTAAGAACTTAATACCCGTGAAAATGTCTGTCAGAACAAAAATACACATTCAAACTACTGACTCGTTACCAACCACTGGTACTAATTTCTGAAATACAGACCATACCATTTAGAACTGATTTCACTACATCTTTATCTGGTATTTAATAAAAATGATATCCCCGAGACAACTGGTTTTCTCACGGCTATCATATCAAAAATGATATCTCTGAATTTCCTATTTAGGATTGGTTTTCCGGTACCGTCTAATGTCTACGTCAGCTGCCTAAACCCTAAAATTTATTTATTTTTCCTCAATAGGAGTAGATACGTTCGCCTATCGTCCGGTTCACTCTCCTCCCCAAGAGTAGCGATTTATCCCTTGTTCCATATTTAGGATTGGGTTTCCGGTTCCCACTAAAATATTTTTCATTCTCTTTCAATCTCAGTAGCTTCTTGCTTCTTAGTGGCGTCACCCCTTAATTGGGGTGAATTGATTTTAAAAAAAAAGTTAATTTCTTGTGGGGCTCTCTTCTGGCTTTCTGATTTTCTGCTAATTACGACCTTCAAAAATTTAAATGCAATGTCAATCGTCTCATCTTCTGTTTCCTTGAATCCTCGTCTTTTATAATCCTCTCCATTTCTATCACACTCAGTAACCGCTTGCGTCTTAGTGGCTTTATTACCTTGCATGGGGTGAACTGATTAAAAAAAACCCCGAAAAACAAAAACAAGAGACCATAATCCCGCAAGACCATCGGTAGTCTTACTTTCACATTTAAAGATAATAATAGTTTCGAGATACAAGTCTTACTAATTAACTAATAGCTTTGGAAGAAGTGGATTCATGCCTTTCCTAAGATTATTTACGCGTAAGTGAACATAATGAACTCCATGGGAAAATTGGAACTCGGTTCTCTGATTAACAATCCCGAGCCATTATCCATTACACCAAACGAACATCCAAACTCACAGTACCTAGTGTTTCCAAGCGATCTCCCATCTAGGTACTAACCAGATTCGACGTTGCTTAACTTCGGCGATGGAACGATTTCATTTTCTATTAGGCCAATCGTATTTCAGAAAAAAAGAAATAGCTGAAACAGTAAGGTAGTAGTTTTCTTACAATGTCCAGTCAGGAAACAGATGATTATAGGTTTTAACAGATTCAGTTTAATTATTATTTGGAAATTGACATGGCTTCTGTGGAAAGATAGGGGAGTAGTTTCCCGTTTTCCTACCCGATAATTTTAATTTAAAAAAATAAGAAGCCACTAATACACAAGGTGTTATTGGGTATCTGTCTATATATCTGAGATGAGGTATTATGTACATTATTTACATTATTCGGACTATTGTTCTTATCTTTGTCGCCATATTTATTACAACGTTTCGGTCGTTGTACGCCCCGGCCTCCTTCGGGTGGTTGGAATATTGAACTGAACCCTTTATTTCGCTCACTGGGGTAGACTGTTCTAGTTCCACGTGCCATGTTTAATGGATGTCAGTTATCACCGGTATAATAACAACAAAAATTGCAATATGAGCTCTGGTAAAAACATGAAATTATAACAGCGAAAATTGCAATATGAGCACTGGTAAAAATGGTTGCTGAAGACATTAGGTTTATAATATCCAGAAATTCATACACAGATGTCCTCAAGGACACATGGCTCAGTGGATAAAGGCATTAGTTAAATCCAGTGACAGGGCCCAAAGAGTGTGAGTTCAATACCCGTTTGGAGAAATTTCAGATAACTGATAACTGACATCCATTAAAGATGGCACATGGAACTAGAACAGTCTAACCCAGTGATCGAAATAAAGGGTTCAGTTCGACATTCCACCTGAAGAAACGTTGTAATAAATATGGCGACAAAGATGAATAATATAAATAATATGTTATTGGGTGGGGGAGAATTAGAAACAAATATCAATAGGGAGAACTTAAGATGATCAATCAGGAGGACAGTAGATAGCGATTGAAATTACATTTAAAGTTGGCTTAAATTTTAACATAGAGCGAGAAGTGCAAGAAAAGAAACAGCATATAACTTACGGTTACATCAAGCCAATTCAACTGTAAATTAGTGAGGCCTTGGCAGAAATATTCTAAGCATGGTCAAACAGTAGACTTATGTATAGAGGCCTAATACTGCGTTTAAATTCATAAAGAGCTCAAAATTACCATAAAAGTCACAGGGAGGCAAGCTTACTGCGGTGGGAAAGTAACTGAAGCCGAGATGCCAGATCAGGGCCAATAATATTGCTGATTCTTCTTTGGATTTTATCAAGGAGCTCTTGATAAATAGTAGGAGCACCGGACCATATGTGGCAGAAATATTCTAAGCATGGTCAAACGGTAGACTTATGTATAAATTGTCTAGCGCAACACAACTTTCTTGGCAACTGATCTACCAATGGATTCAATATAGTCTTTCCACGTCATGTCAGTCAAGAAGGTTAGTCCGTGGATATGTAAAACGTCCCTCTCCTGGAGGTTAGCATCAGCCATAGTGATGGAAGGCAGAAAGAGGTCTCTCGGGTGATTAATAGAGAGCCGTTTAGTTTTGGAGGCGTTAAAATTAACAAATCCTTTGTCACAGTTCAGATTAGTCATACTCTTGAACTGCTATTTAAGGCTAGCGAGGCCAGTATGCATTGTTGCTTAATCCATAGCTGGGCGAAATGAACTCACGCCTTTTCTAAGAGCACTTGTGTGAAGCCAATGCAACAGACTGAAATTTAAACAAAGCTAACAGGTTACATCTTTTGCGCCGATAACTATTACGCTAATCGTTTCAACTTGAAACAGTGTTATAGAGCAACAATTTTTCTTCGTTATTTACAAAAAATATATATTTGCACAATTATATTGTTTAAATCTGCAAATTTATATAAAAAATAAGCATCACTTTCATGGCGATAAAATATATTTGGTTCGGTTTGTTGTGTTTTACAGTATATCAACCTCATTGGGTTATTTAATGCTAACAACTTCTTTTTCCTGGTAATATTTTGTTTTGTCAAAAATCTATTTCTGGTAATATTTTTTTCCTCAAAAATGTATAGCTGGTAATATTATTTTAAAACATGTACTGTTGGTAATATTTTTTTTTCAAAAACGTATTGCTGGTAATATTTTTTTTCTTCAAAAATTTATTTCTGGAACAATTCTTTTACAAATTATTAAAACCCATTTTTACACTTTTATAATGCTTTTTATGTTAGTTTCGGGGTTAACTATTTGCCCATAGCTGGGACCTTAACAGGTGCTACCACCCCGGGTCAGGGTGGACCTGAGAATACCAGCAATTAAGAGGTGGTTCCACGCTCCTCAAAACCTCCTGATCAGAAGCCTTGCTGTTGGATATAGATTATCGCCTTACCCAGGACGCGGATGTAGTTTAACGTCATACCCAGGACGCGGATGTAGTTTATCGTCATACACAGGAAGGGATAAAATATGTATCAAATGTCGAAATAATTTGAGCAAAAATTACGTCATTTTAATATAGAAGTTTACAAAACATGTTTTATAGAAACAGATTTTAAATCTCTTTCTATCATTCAATAAAATAACACAGACGACCAAATAGTTAGCACGTTCCCTTTCCGACTATGATACCCGTGTTCGAATCTCACTATGATCGATTTGTTAGAAAGGCGATGTCATCGGCCTGGAGAGGCGATTCTTGCCAGCGGTACCGTTGGAAGATTCCTGACGGGTTGACCTGTGAGTGAGATTTGGGTAGACGTCGATGATTGTTCTAGCGCAAAGTCACAAGACATATTGACCGAGGATTTCAGTGTGCTCGCCTTGTTCAAACTGTTGATCACCCCAGATGATGCGCTCTCTAACAGAAACTGTAACCAAGACACGCTCAGCATAGATGCAGTATAAACCACAGGTGGGCCCTGTGGGTGTCGAACAAACGCAAATGTGCCTGAGCTGGCGTCTGCAGCAGGGATTGGCTAGCTGCCCTAGTAGAAAATCATGCTCGGATACGAACGTCCGGCCATTAAAAATAACCTACATTTTTCTCTATTTAGTAGCTCGCTTAAAGAAGAGAAGCGACACTATCGATTGGTTGCCAATATTGAAGCCAGTTAATAGCCCACTTTCATTGGCTGGTCTTTGTCCTTGAGTAGTGGCACTTGAAGCAAACGTTAATGCCCATAATTATCGGCCCAAATCACCGAAAATGAGAGAGGATAACGAAGAAAGAAACGTTAAGGAAAATACGCAATGAAACTATAACGATGAAGGCAATGGGGCTCGTGATTCGACCAAAGTTAAGTCGATAATTTGACATCTATTTTAATCAAGGGAGATATTTAGAGCGGATTTTAAAATGGCAAGAAAACAATTTTGTTGATAGCAAAGATGGCCAAGATGTTCTCTAAGGGAGATAATCAAGAGGTTCTGTTGGCAGCAGTTAAACTTTCATTTAAAGATGATTTGTTTTGTAGAGACTAGTCAAGCAGAGGTTTTCTATAAGATTTGATTTTGTTTTATATATAAATATTAACGTTTTAGAAGTATTTGGTGATTGACGACTTGATTGTGTAAATTAACTTTGTCTCCAAGGAGTTTTAAGTAAAGAAGTATTAAATGAAGACCCAATTTACATAGAAGAACTCTTGAAAAACAGTGAATATATATTAGTACATATAAGAATAGTATCTAGTAAAGAGGAATCGCTTTCTCATAAATAGATATTTTTCGTTATTATTTAACATTCCTTAAAAAGAAAACAATGAAAATCAAAACTGTTATCCCTCGGACATTTTGGATTTTGCGTCTTGACCTTTGCTGAGAAACAATTTTTAAATGTACACTACGAAAGTAATGTTTTAATTATTTTCACGAAAAATGCAACAGACACAAGGAGCACGATAACACCGGTGGATTGAGAAAGTTTTCAGCTACAAAGGACTATCTTTGCACGTAGTCACCACCATTCTGTGTTCATAAAAAAAAAAAACAAACCCTGAGCCACTGTTGAAACAAATTAACCAAAAATTATAGTGCTCACATCCACTGTTTAGTCTCTGAAAACGTTCACCAGACATCGATGAATGTCAACAGGTGCAATTCTTTTTACATGCAGAAGAATTCAATGGCGCACTTCTGGGTCGTATATAATTTTATGTCAGATGCCATATTACAGGACTGTCGGTCTGTTGCTAAAAAAATATGGTCAGTGAACGGAAGGTTCAATCTCTTCTACTATGTCACTAACATGCATCTCTGACCAAAATAGTTAAATTACAAGCATTACTTTACGATCAACCATAGTTTAATTTTAATCATTACACGAACATAAAGACAGATAACTCACACATAAACAGACAGACACACACACATATATCAACATGAATATAAATGAAAATAAATATAATATAGATTAAATATACATAAATATATTTAATAATATATTTATTATCATGAAACCGGTAATTATATCAAGTGTTCTTTTTTTCTGGACAAAAAATGTATGTAAAAACTGTCCAAAAGAAAATTAAATTAATTATCTATTACATAAAAATTAAAACAGCGAACCTTATTATAAAAAGTAACAATACACCTGCAAAATCAAAACTACAAAGAACCAACATTATTTACGAGTTCAAATGTTCCTTAAGGAACCGTGTTCCTGATCAAACCAAATTCATAAATAATTACATTGGTCACACTACTACATGCCTATACAGACGACTTACGTTACATCTACCCGACCACAGCTTGATTAGAATTCATTTAAACACACACACGAACCTAAAAGACTCCATCCGAAACATACTAGTAGAATATACAAGCATAATAACCTCATCCAGATGTAAAAAAAAATGATGAAAAATAATGTAAGCCCTAATAATAAAAAAGAAAAAAAGCCAACACTCAATAACATTAACTACTCTAGATATATACATAACACAACCCATACATTCAGTTAAAAGTAAAAATAAAATTATCCTTGATCATGGCTAAAAGTATAGTCGAAAGCGTTCGGACATGCAGAACTTTTGGGCAGTTTTTACACACTTTGTGCTTAGAAAAGAAAATACTTGTACGAACACAAGAAAAATTAAATAAAAAGCTTAACCTCAGTTCCTTTTTTGTCGTCTTTAACGAAACATATATAAAAGAAGGATTGCTGTTTAAATACACAATTACACACATATATAAATCTTTTGAGAGAGATAGAGAGAGAGAGAGAGAGATAGAGAGAGAGAGAGAGAGATAGAGAGAGAGAGAGAGAGAGAGAGATATCTAAAACTGTTCTGATATATGAAAATTTATATTGGGTTGGTGCATAATTACCAGGCGTTTTTAAATAATATTTATTATGACAAAAGAAACATAAAAATTCAACAATAACGTTTGTAAATACTTATTCCGGAGTGTATGATTATCCACACACATTTTTATAACCTGAAAAAAAAAATATTGAAAAAAGTAAACAAAACAGCAATTTTTATTAACAAATAACTCGCCTTGAAAAACTCCTGATAATTATGCACCAGTTCAATATATCGTTATCCCATATATATATATATATATATATATATATATATATATATGTATGTATCGAATTCTAGTCGAATCCATTACATTCACTTACGTGCTAATACCCTTGGGAAAGGTATGAAGCCTCTTCTTCTCCCTCCAGCTGGGTTCTATAGCCTTGGTTGGCAACTGGTCTAGGAGAAGGACAACTCTGAATTAAAAACCTGCGGAGGGTCGTTTGGGGACCTTGTGGCACGTAGTGCACCAGGTCACTGTATTCAACCCTTCAAAAAGTGTGGATGGTCCTGCACGAAACCATCACCACTATAATCAAAATCTCATGTGCCGTTGCCGGGCTGTCGGTTCCCTGGGAACTGATCAGCTTGACCCTCATACGTCGAACTCGACGGGATAGTCGACTATATATATATATATATATATATATATATATATATATATAAGGTTAATGATCAGAGTTGAATCAGACCAGGAAACAGTAGTTTTAAAAGTGCTCAATACACGTGTAAAAAGAACAATAATTAAAATGACATGTAGAGCTTTTAACTTTAAATATCAGAAGGTCAGTCGAATCCGCTATCTTGGTTTCAACCTTATAGTATCCCCAGGGAATTTTTTTTATCAGATGACCACCTAACGCTTTTTTACTTTTTTTTAAACTAAAGAACGCTACATTATTGTTTTCAAAAATAAACAAACGAAGAACGTTGGGTGTAAAAGGGAGGAGGAGGATGTGAAGAAGAAGGAAAAAGAAGGAGAAGAAGCGGGAAAAGAGAAGAAAAGCAAGTGTATTGTAAATGCATCGGTGTGTAGTGGGGGTGGATAAATTACATTTTTTATCCAGCCTCATATTCACTTAAGAAAAATTTTCTGATATATAAGCAAGGACTTATGATTTCGGATTTCTGATTTAAATTTTTTTTTTGGGGATCCAGAAATGTCATAATCTCTAATTTTTACGGTTAGCAGAGGTTGCAAATATGTTTTTGATTGTTGTACAGTTTTGCTTTTTTAAAAAGAATTCCACCTTATCAACGGATACTTGTTTTTTCTCAACCAACCAGGTAACCATTTGTGGAATTTAAAAGATAAATAATCGCCTGAGGATACCGTAAGGTTGAAATCAAGGTAGCGGATTCAACTTACCTCCTGATGTTTAAAGTGTATATATATATATAAAACATACATATATATAATATATATATATATATATATATATATATATATATATATATATATATATATATATATATAAAAATATATATATATATATATAAAATATATATATATATACATATATATGTGTGTGTACTTTGAGAGAATGAATGCTCTTAGTACCTTGATCTTAGGCAGATGAGATGGTGATAGTACATTTTGATCTTAGGTCATGCGAATAGGTACCCTGGTTCAAGGTAGATATCCTGATCCATACATAAATAATATTGTCATTATTTAGGGATGCTATGGTAGTATAATATAAATGTAGATAATCATCAATCAATATAAGGATGAGGGGTCCTTTCAAGGAACGGCATGATATTTTTAATGGGTAAGGGTTGCAAGGTAGGACCCAGGATGACTGGTGCATTATGTAGCCAGAGCAAGTGTTCATATACGCATATGGCTGGAACACATAATTTTCTTCTCTTTGACTGGCTTCACACAAAGTCAGGGAGCCCAATCTCTCCTATTTATATTTCACTTAGCCTTTTGAAAAAAGATGGATTCATGCCTTTAGCAAATGGTATTTATGTGTAATGAACGCAGAAGATACGGCTGAATTTGAACCTAGTTCACCGATTCCAGTTCAAGTGTCGTTAACCGTTATAACAGGTGCGGATTCTCAATCTGAAGAGAATTTAGCACTTTCATAGACTAAATGAAACGTTGAAGATATTTTAGTGAAATTAAAGATAACATAAATTAAAGAGGAAACGGTTTGGCTTGCTTGAATACGCTACTCCGAACTTAACCTTTTCAAGTCTAGAGCCAATCGTTACCTTACCCTACGCGTCATCATATTTTTCACTTGCTACTACCCCCTCTTACAGTCATACCACACACCTCATTCAATATGTCAACACCTAGATTGTATCTTGAGCTTTGTATTGGGTGAAAATTTCTTTTTACAATGATGTTCACCCTGAGAGCCACTCGAGGTAAAGTACGAGGGTCATTCAATAAGTAAGGTGAATTTTTCGGTATAAGGACTTCTAACACAGATAGAAGCTTACTTTTTTTAATTTTTTTTTTATTTTACTTCTTTTTCACATGGATTTAATTTCTTTTGCAGATTAAAAAAAAAACTTTGAGAGTTTTTGCGATTAACAAAGATGGCCGACCAAGAAGCATGCTCCAGGATTGAACAGCGGTCAGTTATCAAAGTTTTTGGTTGCTGAAGGGTGCAAACCAGTTGAAATTCATAGGAGAATGTCAACTGTGTATGGTGCCACATGTTTCAGCAAAAAAAAAAAAAAAAAATGTCTACAAGTGGGCTAAATTGTTTAAAGAAGGACGGAGCAGTGTTGAGGATGAAGACAGTCCTGGGAGGCCTACAGAAGTGAGGTCTCCTGAGGTGATCAAATCAGTCAATGACCTCATTAAGTCTGACAGAAGAACTACTGTGAACTGCTGAGGCAGGTCAAGAAAGACATAAAGAACAAACGCAGGGGTCATCAGTCAGAAGAAGTCATCTTGCATCATGACAAAGCAAGGCTTCACACAGCAGCCCAAACGGTGCAGACCATCAACGAGCTGGGCTAGGAACTGCTCCCTCATCCCCCTTACAGCCCAGACCTTGCCCCTTCAGACTTTCACCTGTTTGGCCCCTTGAAAGCATTCACGAGAGGCACGAAGTTTAAAAGTGACGATGAAGTCAAAAGTGTTGTGAGCGACTGGCTGAGACATCAGTCCAAAGATTTTTACGCTGATCTACAGAAAAATGACGAGAATACATGGGTCGAACATGTGAGCAACAGCGAAGCTTTAGAGAAAATAGAAACAAAAAAGAAACATATATTTAAAATCAGGAAGAGGCTGTTGAAATTTCTGGGGCACGCAATGAGAAAGAAAGGTTTGGAAAATCTGATACTCACAAGACAGATTGAAGAAAAGAGTAACAAAGGAAATCAGCGCGTAACATACTTGATGAGCTTGAGTAAATGGACGGTAGAAGAGGATTTAGGAGAAATAACAAAAAGACAAAACTTATTAAGAGCTACAAGGGATAGGAAGATGTAGAGGGCCATGATCGCCTACGTCCTGAATTGACACGACACATAAATTAAGACACTTATATAAATAGCGTAATGTTGTACTTATATTAATTTTTAAAAAATTGTACGAAAACTAAGTTTAGTAGTCATATTTTCTTTTTAAGCATTCAACCCCAAGCAAGGCGGGAGGCCACGAGCACGCAAGGGGTTACAGAGTTGGAGCGAAAACAAAGAGGAATGATAGAGGAAAGGATGAAGAGAAGGTTAGGAGATAGATCAGGGCATCTGGAGACGTCAATTGACGCTACATTTGAATAGTTGGAGATTATAACTAACAGGGAAACAAGAAATGGGGAGGGAGTTCCACAGGCGAGACATGAAGCTATTGGAGAAGAAAAGACGTCTACTTTTAACAGTTTCGACATTGAAAGGGTGAGAGCGAGATGCCAGCCTAGTTGAACGCTTAAATTCATGAAGTCTGGGAACCAGCAAAAGTAGCTCATCGGAGCAGTTACCGTCAAAGTATTTGTAAAAAAAGGGAGGCAACAGTACGTCTGTGAGAGAGCGGCTGCAGACGAGATGCCAGATCAGGGCCAATTCAGTTTACAATTATCATTAAACAGCGTGGACAGAAAATAAAAAATAAGCCATCAAAGAAACTCAAAATCACTTCCTTCTTGTCTCTGGAAGCCTGTTTATTCTCGAAAGGTTTGACTACGATATGAACTGCCAAGAATTTATGGTTGACAGAGTATGAAATCCAATCATATAAGCAGGTATTACTATTCATTTTTCACCGACTGTTAAGTTTTATTTATTTTTTTTATATGTACTATTATGTATTAGTAATAATAGTAGTAGAACTTTTATCTTGAATTTTTATTAGATGAAACATTGTCAGACATTATCGAATTTTGACTCGTATTTCTTTCAGCGTAAAGCAACTAAAATCAACGTGGAAGAAATACGAGTCAATAATTAATAATAGTTGACAATGCTTTAGCTGATAAAAATTCAAGATAATATAGTAATTATATTGTTTGGTTATTTTACACTTCATCATACTAGCGTCTGTCAGAGTTTATTAAACGTAACTGCACATTCTGTTGCATAGCAAACTAAAATTAGAAAATTAACGACCAAAATGAATGAAAATTGGTAAAGTTATTTAAATGATACTTTAATTACAGCAACATTGATGAGATTAGACAAATTTTGTTTTAATTCCGTACCTCATAATTGCTGTTGTTCCCAGGTTCACCTCGACCCGGGGGTAACACCTGTTAGCTATGGGCAGATAGTGAACCCCTAAACTGGGGTCAAAATTCTATGAAAGTATAAAAATACATTTTTATAGTAAACAATTCCAGCAATAGCTTTTAATAGTAAAAATAATAAATACCAAAGCTCTCAAGAAAGTTAAATTTCGGTATTAAATTAAATAATTATTCAGTCATATTATTCCGTTAAATGGCTTCTTATTTTTCTTTTGGTTAAATATTGACGCAGAAAAGCCCAAAACACATATCTTTTCTTTTAAAAATCTTAGAAAAAAGGAACTGCCCAACATATAAATTATAAATTGGAGATACCAAAAATCAAGCAACAATATAAATAACTGGGAAACATTTTGACAGAGGATGGAAAGAGAGACACTGAAACCCGAAGGCGCATTGGGATAGCGAAAGATGCCTTCCAAAAGCTAAGCAAAGTATTAAGAAAAAGAATAACTTCGCTAGAAACAAGGAAAAGAGTACTAAACTCTTATGTGATATATTTCCTTCTATATGGCAGTGAATGTTGGCTAATCTCCTCACAGATGCAGGAGAGTCTTGAAGTCATAGAAATGTCGTTCTAGAGAATGTTACTGAGAATACCATGGATCAAACATGTGAACAACGAGGAAGTTTTAGTGAAAATGGAAACAAAAAGTACACTTATATTTAACATCAGGAAGAGGCAGTTGAAATTTCTGGGTCACATAATGAGAAAAGAAGGCTTGAAAAATTTGATACTCACAGGGCAGATATAAGGCAAGAGAGACAGAGAAAAACAATACATAACACACCTTGTGAACTTGAATTAATGGATGGCGGGAAAAGGTTTAGAAGGGGGAAGCAAAAAAGGGCACTTGGACACTTAACATCAGAAAGAAACAGTTGAAATTTCCGTGGCACTTAATGAGGAAAGAGGGCTTGGAAAATTGACACTCACGAGACATATTGAAGGAAAGAGGGACAGAGGAGAGCAGTGCATAACCTACCTCAGGGGTTTTCAAACTTTTTGACTTGCGGACCCCTTTATATTTCAGGCTTTACCTTAGGGACCCCCTTATAAACGCTTATGAAATTTATACATAAATATTTGCTGAATATTACATATAATTTTGCATTAATGCAATAAAAGCTGATTTAAAGCTTACTTTAGACATAAGTGTTCAAATGTAACAAAATTAAATTTTGTTATATTAAAATCTTAATTTTACATGTAAATGAAAACAGTAATAGTATTTAACAAATAGTTTTATTGTCAATTACACACACATTTTTTTAATACACACTTAGTGAGAAGGATGTGCTTGCTTGGTTTTGCACAAATTGTCAATTCTTGGCGATATTACTGATAAACATACACGTAAGTCACTTTCTAGAGTAAGTCTGGATCTGTATTTGTTTTTCAGATTGGTTAGTGCCGAAAATCCTGCTTCGCATAAATATGTTGTTGCAAATGGTAACAAAATCTTAACTGCCTTTCAAGATATAACAATGGATACTCGGAGGCTATAGTGAGACAGAATTTCGAAAGTTATTGCTGCATAAAACTGATTTTTAAAGTTCTGTCGCATGAAATTTCCGCCAGTTCTTCCAGTTCATTATAAGTTGCACGTCACCCATAAAAAAGTCTTTGCTGTCCACGGACCCTCTATCTTGTGCTTGCGGACCCCCTGTAGTCCGCGGACCACAGTTTGAAAACCCCTGACCTACCTAACGAGGTTGTGTAGATGGTTGGCAGAACCCGTATTGGGACAGATAGCGAAAAGGAAAACTGTAATTAGAGTTACTATAAGAAATTTAAGCTGCCTGAGCGTGCATCGTCTGCCTTTCAGAGGGAAAGCAGACGCTGAGTTGGGTTCTTGCTTGATTTTTGAATTTCAAAAATATTTTTGGTACATTTCAATTTATGGGAAAACAGTTTTTTTTAAAAATAAAATCCAAAACCAATAAAAGGGTTTCCCTCCAAATTCTGGGAAGTTTATTTGGAGCCTATCTGTAGGTTATTTATTGAGTGGGGGTCTTGGGTTTAATTTTCAGAATCTACGAACAGCAGGAAGCTAGGTCGGCCAGGTTCAGAAGGAAAATAGCGCAGAAGAAATTTGACAACCACCAGACCAGAATTGAAAGGAAAGTCGCTCCTATATCAAGGAAAAGTCGTCGGCTGGTGTGATTGTTTTATTTCTCGCTGTTACCACGAACTTTGCTTCGAAAATTGTATCAATTCTTTGAAAAACATTTACAGAAATATTATCTCCTTTTCTTCATTTTATGTCGCTTTCTTTTCTGAGGACCTTATGCAGCATTATAAATTTTATTGTAAAAAGGCAGATTTTATTTTCATTTCTAATTTACGGACATGTTATTGCCCATAATTTAGTACACAATGCATTTAATTTGTGCAATTCATTCATTTTTTGTGTTAATAAATTTATCGTCCTTTTTTAAACTCGGCTCGTGTCATCTGTCTTTATTGTGTACTTATATATATTCAATGTTATCTAAAACATTTGTTTGAACTAATTTTTTTCGTAGGAGTTTTACCAAATAAAACATCCTATACTACAAAATACAGGAAATTGTGGCAAGCCATAAACACCAACACCCTGAAGTGACACGGCACATAGAAGAAGAAGAAGAAGAAGAAGAAGAAGAAGAAGAAGAAGAAGTGAAGATCAGGATGCAGATTATATAAGATGACAATGTCGGCCATTTGTCAAGGGAAAATTCAGTTTAACGTTTGATTTTAATAACGGACAATCGTCTAAAATTAAAAATAAAACATTTTTGTGTGTATTTAGGTTTGATTGATGAACTCAATAACTAAAAATTAATTTCGTGTTATTTGCTAACTACAGAAATTATTTAAGAGAAAAATCTAAACAGTTTGTCGACGAGTCGGTTCTATTTCAGATAGTGAATTATGTTATCAAAATCAGGAAAAGACAACTGAAATTCCTTGAACACATAATGAAGAAAGAGAGCTTGGAAAACTTAACACGCACAGGGCATATTAAGGGCAAGAGAGGTAGGGGAAGACATCGTGTAACTTACCTGACAATCTTGTGTGATGGCGGTACGGCCGTGGAAGCCTTAGCAAAGGGATAAAAACTACTGAGCCATACTAGATAGGAAGTTGTGAAGATTCATGATCGTCTATATTCTGAAGGGGATGTAGAGAGAGAAAGGTTGGTAAATCTTGCTATATCATGGAACATTTTTATATTTTTCGTTCTCTTCCAGAGAAATAAGTGAAAACATTATGACATTTACCATGAAAGTTTGTGTCGAATCTCACTTATTTTCTTTTTATCATTCATTTTTTTTTTCTTTAAATTCTTATTTTAGAATTGGTCCTCCAGGGTGTTGAAATTCAATTTGTTCATATTTCCCGTTCTTATTTATGTAGACTAATTCCAGACGCGTTCCATTTCGCCTTGCCCGAGGTACATTTTGGGTTAATTTTCCATCCCAACTTCCTGCTTTGATCAAAGTAAATTCTTATCTCGAGCCGCGCTGAACTCTTTTTCCCCGAAGGCTTTTTATCTTTCGAGTACCTTTTAAGAACGCCAGCCAAGTTTTGTTTTTGTCTCGACTTGTTTACATGTTGTTCAATCATCGCTGAACAATGGAAGAGAGGGGCGCGTACCTCGATTAAAAACATCGTTCTCTTCAGTTTAAATGTAAATCATATTAAACATACACTTAAATCAATCTATCTACTGCTGCACGAATTACATTATATAGGCTTAAATGCTATAAATAAATAACAGAAAAAGAGATTTTAATACCTCTTGAGGCATTTTCTTTAGAAATAAACCCCAAGAAATCATGTATATACCGAAATTAATTATTACGTCTCTCAAGATAGTCCAGCAGCGAGTTTAGTCCTCACCGGGTGCTCTACTGGCATGTGCGTTTGTAGGGGGGATTTCCAGAGCAGAGGAAGCGGCTTTTTCGCGCTTCGACGCGGATGGATGCGTTAGCGATTGACCAGCTATTACCTCGAGCGTGAGCAATTATGAAGGACTGCCTGGCGATACAGAGTGGGACAAAGAAGCTTCCTACAGGGTGTCCACGCGATACCATAATATGTCGTCGTGCAAATCATTTGGCAAAGGACTGTGTGGGACCCCAAATCGAAAGGCGGAAAAACCCCAAATACAATGCTATATGTGCGACGAGATAGGCCCCATCTGAATGAGGTGTTATCTGCGATTACTGTACGCATTAATGGGGTCAAGGGTGCAGCCTTGGTGGGCACGAGTTACTCTCAGTTGCTTGCTAGCAGAATGCTTTGTCACTTCTAGAAGAGGAAAGAAGTGGGCGTGCCCACTGTTGGCGAACAGACCCTTAGGTGCTGTGGGGTTGGACTTGTTCAACTTGGTGCGAGCGATGTCGAGGTTCTGAATGTAGATGAGAAGCTATTGGAAAATTGGAAAGCTGGATGTGTGCGACAATTGGGGCAGAGTGGAAATGGATATAACTCATTATAAAGGCCAGCATTATCTGACTTTGATAGACTGTGTCGCTAGTCTATTTTCCATTTGGCGACTGAAACCGCGTCAATACTCTGCCAGGATCATCCAGCAGTTGGAGTCTCTATTCTCCGAGAAAGATGGCCACCTGCCAAGCTACTCATCGACAACGGGTCGGCGTTCTGTGGAGAGATATTTGCGTGGTTCGCAGAGGAGTGGGACATCCGACTGAGATTCCGGTGTGACTATGTACCGACAGGGAATGGTATTATAAAGAGATGCCATCGTACTATCAAGCGAATTGCTATTAGAACACAATATTCCATCAGGCGTTATATTGTTATAACGTGACGCCAAAAGATAAAGCAACAGCCGTGACAGCACCAGCTAACTCTAAATACAAATATCAGAACAGTATAAAGGGTGTCGATGTTACACCACCCAGAATCTACAGAGTAGGAGATGTGGTCTGGATTAAGGCCCCACATGGTCGATGCACGCCGCAATTTTAAAAAGGGAGAGCGACCGGCATCTATCGTCCACAGTCAGTCTTTGTCAATGTAATACCATGCAATATTAAAGATCTTCATTCACGTAACGGACCTATTTCCTCAGAAGACGACGGTAGTAATATGTATCAGGTACGCTGTTGCTTTTTAGAACAGAAGAAATAGCGTTGAAAGACCATGATGATGATGTCTAGAACGAGAGAGAACCTGTGAACACAAACGAAGAGGCCAAGGACCCCGCCTAACTTTACGAAGAAGCACATGTCGAAGGAGACCACCATCTCCCTGCCACATGTGATCATGAGAACATGGAGGAGTGTAGAAGGGGAAAACGGCTTACCTCCTGGGACAAAACGCGCTCGTACGTGATTCGTGTGCAAAATACGTGACATAAAATACGGCTGATCCAAAAGCTGACATTTAAGAACGACTCGATCTCGGAGTTTTGAGAGATTTTGCGAGACTAGCTAAAGACGCTGACGTGGTCGTCTCTTGTGCGTGAAGTTTCGCGTTAGTATCACCAATTATGATCGAAATGATAGGCTACAACTAGTATTCCAAAAAATTATACTTTTTTTCTACAACAAAATAAAACAACTACAAAAACAAGTCAAAGCAAAAATAATTAAGGATTTCTGGTTGTCTAAAATGGTCGTATATTTCTGATTGATGCCAGTTGCCGGTGTTGTGCGTTCTATTTTCTTAAGGTTACAAATTCATTGTGACTTTGTATCAGAAGCGTAAGTCGATTTTGGAACCGTGGTATTGCGTTCTAAATAAAAGCTGGGGGGTTTGACATGATAAATATTGGGACAAAATATTTCTTTTCAAAATAGTTACCGTATTTTCAGGAAAAGAGTTTAAATATTAAGTTTAAGTTCAAAACTGGAGCCTTGGAATTTCATTCCGGTGATCGGTGAAAGATTTAATGCTGTAAAAACGTTCCGTACCCTTATGGAAAACAAATGTTTAAATGTCAATTAATAAAATGTTTTCCAATGGAAAAATTTACTCGTTCTCAATAAATCAAAGAAAAATAAATCAGAATTATGAATAGTATAAAAATAGTCACTTTATAAAGGCAAAAACGGAGATTTAAATATGTTACAATATGTACTTAGGTTGTGGCAGCGATGAAAATCGATTCCTTTTTTTTCTCATAGAATTTACGTTTTGTTCAGTGGGAAAATTAGACTAATTCTAAAGATACACACGATAAAACTTCATAAAAAGAACTTTCTTCATATAAAAATCAACAGTAATAAAATAAATATATTTCATTTATGAATATTACACCAGGACTTTTTTTCAGTGGATATTATCTAAGTTCTCACCGTCATACACATTTCATTTGTCACTGTGTGTAAAATTAATTAGTTTTGTATTTTTATAAAACAGACTTAATTATTTGAAAAAGAAAGTAAACATTTTATTTAATTTACATAATTTTGTAATTTTGTGAGTAGTGTTTATTTAAATTAAAACGTGTTTGTTTATTTCTGTGGAAGAAACTATATTACTATATTTAGCTAAGTAATACCGTTTCATTCTATTTTTCTCATTTCAAATTTACCTTTGAATTCTATTAAAATAGCGTAATGCTTACACTTGTCCTTTTCACAAGAAGTTGAAATTAATTCGATTCTTGTTTTTCTTTTAATTTGTTTAATTTGAACGAGTTCATGTCTTGATTTTCAAAATTTAAATTAACTGAAAAATATAAAATTTACTTCTGATAATCTTCCCTTCTCTGGTAAATAATATTGGGATATTTTGCTTCATATTTATTATGTATGCTAGATCTGTTTTTAAACTTAGGCACATTTTTTTAAATTTCAGATATCCATTAAAGACGGTTATATTTAAACTCTCAGATAAAACAGGACCAAAACGCAGTTTGCAACTTGGAAGTACTTACAAAGATGCATTTAAAATATTTACAAAGACGTGCAACTGAAGCAGACGGATTAGGCAGCCTGATTTAAAGAATGCAACAACAGGATTCTACAAGAAACGACCGATGTCAGTTTTGAGCCAGGGAGACAGTCTAGAAGAACTTACCGTCTCTAAATATGCAATGGAACTTAAGGATGATTGTTATGTTCCGTGTGAGTTCGTTTCAAACTGTTATATTCCGAGCTAAGGGAATAAACACATAACACCAGGTGGATACTAGAAGAAAGGTTTATTGTATACAACCAGTACAATATGAAATACGATACAGTTATACACACAGGTCAATCTAGTAGTAAGTGACACTAATGGATGGTCGGACGTGCTTGCGTCATCTCGGCTTACAATGTTTACTCGTACCCCCATTAGGACGAGATGTAACACAAGGACTTTTTAAAGTGGGGACCCGAGCGCGTGCACCCGGGCAAGGGATAAAAATTGCCCACAGCCCCGGCAAACGTCGGTTGTGGTGCGAGCACCGATCCTTCCCTCTTGTGCAATGGGAGGATGCGGCCTCGGGCAGCTGTTCCCCAGGGCTGGGCAACTCTTCAGTATAATTTTCTCAGTTGCCCCTTTGTCCTTTGACAGAGAAACCTCTGAGCGTACTCTGCCCAAAGACAGATAAGCAAATGATAGATGATAAGCCATGCGTTATTAATCTCTCCAAGACGGGGTTTTTTACTCTGTCGTCTTGCTCTTACAGTCGGTTGCGCTGGCATCGGTGCGAGCACCGGTCTCTCCCTCTTGTGCAATGGGAGGACGCGGCCTCGGGCAGCTGTTCCCCAGGGCTGGGCACCTCTTCAGTATAATTTTCTCAGTTGCCCCTCTGTCCTCTGACAGAGAACCCCCTGAGCGTACTCTGTCCAAGGACAGAGACGCAACTGAGAGATGATAAGCCATGCGTTATTAATCTCTCCAAGAACGGATTTTTATGCTGTCGTCCCGCTCTTACTGTCCCTCCCTCTCGTAGACGGTTGACTTTATAGGTACTTGCTACCTATAGTGTAATCATTTGTGGGGGTTACTGGTTATTCCATTACATCAATGATATATCTTCCAACCCTGAGGCATGGCTTGCTAATGTCCTCTTATTAAACCTACAAGATATGGACTTTCTTCGTCCACGCCTTAACTTAATGGACATTATCATTGATAAGTTAAAAGTATACAGGGAAAAGGCTAGATTAAAAATAACCACCCATCACAAGCATGTTCAAAATTATGAAAATATCTGCATTGGGGTTAATTACAGAGTTGATAAAGACACTTTGCAATACTAAGACATTATAGCGGAAAACGGCGAAAAAAAAATTAAGAAAACCAAAGAAGAAGAGCGCCACTTGAATTTCACCAGAGATGGACACGGAAAATAGATATCTCACTCAGAGAGTTATTCCTAACATTGGTGCATCTCGTGTTGTTATAGCAGAGGATATTGATTATGTTTCAGTAGAATTTCAACGTAAATTCCATTACGGCAGTTCTTGTGGAGAATACCAGTACAAACACTGGTTGTGAGGCAGAGCTTGTTACAGGTCTGGAAAAAATAACTTAAAAGAAAGTTACTCACAATAGCTGTTCACTTCCTCAAAATGAACTTCCATTTAGAGCGGTTTATAAGTATTAGGTTGGTGCAAAAATAATGACGTAATAATGTCGTTTTTGACGTATTTTTTAACGTTAAAAAACGACATTCTTACGTCATTATTTTTGCACCAACCTAATACATTGATAGAACTACAAGAAGCCCTACTAATTTTACTGGTCCTCTAGGAAAACTTTGCGGAAATGATTACCATGATTTGCCCCAGGTAGAATTTAACACTATCAATAGCTCTCTAGATAACTTCTATCTTACTGCAGGGGAAATGGACGATTTTACTGGTAACCAAATACTGCTCTTAGAATATGCAGCAGAAATTTCTCGAGGGAAAGTAGACCCTAGATTTGCTACCTAGAAAACTGGGTCTCTAAATCAAGCAAGACAACTAAGTTTAGCTATCAGGCTAATGGGTTTATTGACCAAAGATGCCTATTCAAGAGAACTCTATGATAAATTGTACAGCCATATAAAATTTACGATTGAAATATATGCAGTTAGTAAGTTTGATATTAAAACGGATAATAAATTCCATATCCAACAACTGTATATCTTCAGCATGATCCAGAAATATATTGACAGTCAACTGAGATACAGAATGTTGGATTAAAAAATTTACCGCTCAAAAATATTTTTTGTTTGTTTCAGAAGTATCAAGACACCAGAAAAGAGATTGAAAAAATTACATTCATCTCTGAAGCGACACTCTGGTCAAATTTGATTAACCTCTTATAAAATGGAGTTTGTGAACCAGCGCTTGCAGAAGACAAGAAGGATGAAGTGCAAGAGTTTCTATTGAATGGAACAACACTAAAGTTGCCAAATTTACCTACACATCCACAAGGTGTGAAAAGAGCAGTTAAATTAAATACTGAAACGTCACAAATTATATATAGACAAGAATGAAGGCACAAGCACGTTATTACTAAATCACTGTGTCATCAAATAAGACAGTCATTTACTTGAAAGGGAAATTATATTAAACAATGATGTAATATGTCATACAGTGCAATAATTTTAGTGCGATTTTCTATAAACAATTTAAATTTAAAACATTTTTTTAGAAAATCAACATTGTTCCCGGTGGGAAGTAAGTAATTACATGAGCCATCATATATGCATCTAACGATATCAACAGTCGGTGTTCCCTGTCAATTAAATACCAAGATTGCGAATGCTTTTCAAAGTAGTGAAGCCCTTTACAATCGGAAGATTGGCGCAGC